ACCGTTAGACCAATGATTACTAGCGTGCGTTAATGAGAGCTACCTACGCGATCGGCTCAGTAAACATATGCAAATTACCTAGGAAAAACGAACCACCTGATCACCCTCTTTTGGCCTCGATTATGCCAGGCCCTAGAGCCCGCAAAGTCCCTTGAAGGCATTTTCGGCTAAGTGGCGATGAATGGGCGACTTTGTACTCTCTATCTACTTGTCAATTAAGTTTTTGTGCCAGGACCTCAACGAGCAGAACTTTGCGACCGTGACTAAGTCACCAGACATTGACCTGACCCGCACACGGGAACATTTCATGTGGAAGGTAGAGAAATCGCCTAATAGATCGCTTCCGAATTTCGACAGTTGGGAAACTTGTTTCATGGCACAAAATTGGTGCATAATGCCAAAAAGTTGCGCGAAAGAGAGTAAATAAATAGCCGGAACTCACCCATGCCAGAGGTAGCAGTTTAGGAAGCAGCCCATCATATTCTGATAGAGGCAAAGTCGATAGACTGAATGGACTCTGAACCTTACGTTTTTGTCTACACATGCACTCACGGCCTTATAGATCAAATGAATGCAACGATTTAACTTTATTTGCACTACCAGGAGTGCCAAGTTGACTCCAAAGTATAGTGAAAGTGAAGCAGGTCTTCGATCAAGTGGCCCTTATACAGTGTTTACTTTGGGACATGCTGAGATCACTCGCAGCCATTATGGAATAAGCCTGTTCCTTTGATAACGAATCAATGCTCTACCAACCCCTCGAAGAATGCTTTGTAAAGTCATGCAGGAAGCATCTAAACTGGGCCAACTTCCACCTTGGCTGGATGACTCTTCTCGTCATAACAACCAGAAGACAACGTGCCAGCAGGTTTTGGTGCCACATAAATGACCTAAGGCAGCATATTCTCGTCTTCTAAATTCGGCAAGCATCAATCTTTTCAATACAGAGAACAAGAGATCGACATCAAGAGAGAAGGAGGTTATATTATCTGTGTTTCCCATCTCTAAGGTCTAATGGCTTGGAAATGTTGACCTATTGAAGCGAATAATGATGCCTCTTGAAGGCTAGCCATTTCCTTACGTAATTAGCCCCACGAGATCCACCACCAGATGGTGCATCTGTGGGAGAGTAATTTCGACCCCTTAATCGTCAAGGTCATAACCGGGCTAATGTCCAAAGATTAATGTTTGTGCTGCACAAATTTATGATCTCACCGCACATTGGTCAAAGCACTAACCAATCCACGAACCGATGAAGATGACGTGGCCAATCAAGAGAGAGGGAATGTGCAAAATCTGTGCATGGTGGACCCACCATACCGTAAGAGTTATTTAGGCGGCTACTGATAGTTACCATGGCAGCGCATTCTAATTAAGACGTATAATGCATTCCACGCATTAGGAGGCTGTGTCAAACCTTTGCTTTTGCAATAATATAATGAACAAAAGTTGAGCATAATGGCAAGAAGCCTGTGCCATTCTAAATACGAGGTAGCCTACGTATGCAATAAACTACCCCAATGCAGAGAGATAACGCTCTAGAAGGTAGTCACGCGGAAACACTTTAATGCGCCACATAACTTATTAAGGGGTGAAAGGTAGTTGAAAAACACCACGGGATACATAACACAAGGCGGATTGACGTCTAATCTTGCGCGAATTGATTAACCGTTAAATGCTTAATGTGAGACGAATGCTGTGTCGAAAACAAAACATACTTGGCTGCAGGAGGTTGCTGGCTTGAAAATCTGGCTTATTTAAACAGGAAGAAAATATTCTATAGTGCAAATACTACGACAACCTTTATTGTCCCTCATTGCTTAAGCAATTCTCCACTTAGCCACCACGGTGACATGCTACTTATATGGAGAAAGTAGCATAGAATTGAACTGGACTAAGGGGAAAATAACACCGCCTTAAAGACGCCGGAAAAAGGGATGACAAAACAATTTGATTGGACGGTTAATGACAACTGTGCATCTTGTTGGCCAGACGAAAGATGGTTGAAAAGTTAGTTTGCAAAGAGCCAGAGTATGAACAAGACAACAGTTTCTTTAAGGGGAGATTTGGCCCACTTGATGTTAGTCCCACTGGTTAACATGCATTCGCAAGAATGTGGGTCCTAAATATTATCAGGTTGGCAAATTAATGACACCCGATGTAAGCATTTCATTTTTCTACTATTACAGGTCGATAAAAAATGTTTCAGTACATAGTACATAGCTAACTTATCGATATTCTAAAAGCGAGGGCAGTATGTTTAAATATGCGAACTTTATGAGACCGAAAATAGTCACCCAAAGTTACTTCAGAGTTTAATAATAAATAAAAAATTAACAGCTGGTGGTGAATCAAGATATGAAAGGTTGAATCGCCGATGCTTCGTAAAAGAGTGATAAGCAAGTTGAGGGCAAGAATAAAAACGACATAGTTAATAATTGTGGGGAGAAGTAGGAAAAGAATGTGTCATTCCACTACTAAACAACGCAATGAAACATCACCTGACGATGTTTAAGGGAAAAAGTTTGGAAAACGAACAGGTGCAAATGGAAGTACGCAAGAGCAAAAATTGCTCAAACCTAACCAAATCAAGCATAATAATGACTGACTCTTCGAGGTTTAGCTGGTCGTCATTGTGTTCGTCGGAGTCAAAGAGACGTGATATTATTGTTTTGCGCAGATTGCGTAGATTCTGGTAGCTGGAGGAAGAAGTCAGCATTCCGATGAAAAACAACACCGCCCCTGCAAGAAACGAGAAAAGTATTTAAAAACTTTAAAGTAAAAGACTCATGAAGATGCCATAATTCTCACCGATCGGAGAAATAAGATAATAGCGAGAAGAATTGCGGAGTGGATGCTGAAAACCGAAAATAGTGTGGAAATAAGCACGAAATACCAAATGTTAAAAAACAGCATTAAAAGTAATTATCATTCAGAAAGAGTAACACATCGAGAGGAAAGTTCGTAAACCACCATATATCATACGAACACCCACCCTCGGGTGCGAAAAATAAAAATTTTAAACGCTAGGCCGTTCAAAAGTTAAGCAACCTTTAGGACAATATTATTTTATCAGTTAAAACGAACTTGGATATAATAATCACAAAAAATAGAAATTTAAAATTTAACATGAAATACTAATTAAGCAGAATATTTGTACAGCTTGAGCAGTATAATTGTATATTAAGAGCATAAAATTAGGAAAAATATATTGAGAAGCGTGCAATGATGGAAGATCAAAAGGAAAAACGTTATTCGTAACATTTTGTCTATTAGCAACTTAATATCTGGTCTTTGCACGCTTGAGCTGGTTTTCAGGCCATTCCTAAACCTAATTTCGTAATTCTCATGGAGTACATTATTTTAACTCCACTTACTGCTTCTTCAACCTGGTGGGATGTCTCGAGACTCCATACTGGTGGCAGTGGATGCAGCATATACTAGAATGTTTATCCTGGCATTTGCAGAAGAGAGGCGGGAGCGATAACATTGGAACATGGACCCCATGCGTGAGGACCGTGAGGATCCCCTCCCGATGATAGCTGCCATTCGGCTCATTTATTATCGTATCCCCGTTGTTCCTGTAAACAGCGCCTAATAAATCTACTGCAGCTAACCCTCTCTTAAAGCCCATGGTTCAAGAGCATGAGGCCAGGCAGGCAGTTATTACGGCGGAGAGCAAACTCGACATTTTTAAGGACTATTCTCCTAGCATGTGATCTTTTTACATGTACATACGTTGTGGATTTGGCAAGCTTCATTGGTGGTGAGAGAATCTTCGCTTTCTTCACAACAAAAGGATTGAGATTGAAGTCCTATTATGACTTTATCTTATTCTTGTTTTGCATAAACAAGACATCAAGAACTGACGCGTCACCTATGTAAACTACCTGCAAAAGTTTCGTTTTGATAATGACACCGTTTTAATTATAACACATCTGTTTTGCATTAGAGTCCCACCGTCTAGTCCTGGAAGCAATTAATGTTCAACAGTTTAATATTTATTTACGTAACAATATGACGTTTGGCGGTCACTTTTGAATTTCTCTAGCTCTTGTACACGTGAGCTGGCCTCCGCGCCCCGCTCAGGCCCCATTGGCCTTGTTGTCCTCGAAATACACTTATTCAACCTCAATTTTGCCTTCTTCCACCCTATGGTAAACCTCGGGACGCTGCAAACAGTGTAGAAATAGCCCACCTTCCCCCTGGCCTTTGAACCTTGAACTTCAAGAGTGGGTTAATTGCACAGAAAAAAAGAAAGTGGAGGCCGATTGATGAGGCGAAAAACAGATGTTAGCCTGGAAGGGAATCTTCACACACCTCACCTATTGGATTCGAGTTTAATCTGATTAGCCCCTCTCCATGATAAGGGAAAGCTTAACCACACCATTGCACATTATAGATAGATGTATGTGGCCTGATTTTGGCTGTCGTACTGAGTGTAATTCCAGGTCCATTTGAAAATGTCGGGGAGACAATGTATCTTTCCTCACTCTCATGGCAACTATTAAAAAGTACGGCTAGCTCATGTGTGATTTCTTGCAGTACCGAATATGTTGTGGTGGCTGGCACGGGAAGTGTACCAAAGTGACTGACTAGAACGTCGGTCAAGGGAAGAGAGGAACAGTTTAATACTTTGTTTAAGAATTATTTTTTTGATGTGATTTGATTTATTTGATTCCTAATAACTGCAACTTTGGGCTCAAAACATCCGCTTTATGAACATCTTACACCTCTTCGTGTTTTCTGTAGGGAATGATATTTCGCTGTATACACGCAGTGGCTTAGAATGTGAGCATGTTACAAAATAAGACAACTAATGTTTTTTTCGAAACGCTTTTAAGATGATTTCTGCTAAATGCGGAGCGTAGTGAAATTGCAGCAGTAAATCGCATGTTTATTTTAATCACAATATAACAAGCATTTTGGGTATTTGTTTAATTGCTTGAATTGGTTTCAAATACTAGCGCGGTGGTTACTGCTCTCGAGAAGCGTTGGGAATGCCAGAGGTTGAAGGTGTGGTGGTTTACATTTTCCTTATTATTTCTGCTTTAACTCTTTATTATGGCAGCTGAGGTGCACTTATGATTATTACTTTTTGCGTGTTGTTGAAGTGCATCTATTAACGCCAAATTTTTTCGCTTAGGTTTGGAAGATTGTGTTGAAGAACGTGTTATTAATGAGGAGTACAAAATTTGGAAGAAAAATACCCCCTTCCTTTATGACTTAGTGATGACTCATGCCCTGGAGTGGCCGAGCCTAACTGCTCAGTGGCTTCCTGAAATTACTCGGTGTGTCTTCATAGTTCTTGTAGTTAGGTGGTTTGTCTGGTTTTATGCTTTTTTTCCATTTAGCCCTGAAGGCAAAGACTACTCCATTCATCGTCTCATTTTGGGCACGCATACGTCGGACGAACAAAACCATCTTCTTATTGCCAGTGTTCAGCTGCCCAATGACAATACTCAATTTGATCCCAGTAACTATGACCCAGAACGTGGAGGTGCGTCTACAGCGTTGTCCCTTTGTTCTCTCAGAGCATTTCAGATATTGTGATTACTATGAGAATGCCTTCTAGAATTCGGTGGATTTGGCGCTGTAACGGGCAAAATTGAGATCAACATTAAGATCAATCACGAGGGTGAAGTGAACAGAGCGCGTTACATGCCTCAGAATCCATGTGTTATCGCCACAAAAACGCCGAGTGCAGATGTGCTAGTCTTTGATTACACTAAACATCCAAGCAAACCCGATCCATCAGGTGTTTGTGAGCCCGAATTAAGGTTGAGGGGACACCAGAAGGAAGGATATGGGTTATCTTGGAATCCCAATCTCAACGGATATCTTTTATCTGCCTCCGATGACTACGTGAGTCGGATTCTCGATTGTGGTTTTAAGTTGGTGTCATCTATCGTCTCGATATTTGTAGTGCAAACGTTATTGCTCATCAATCTCGAAAATAATAGGCAGTGTTTCGCCTATTTATCGTCTTCTGCTGTTATGTCGCTTGTAAACCAACTTCATTGCTGTGTCCTCGTAATCTTCTGCTGATGTATTTAGTTATTTTTTTGCATCAATTTTGGTGCAGTTGGGATTTACACGGGTGGTTTTATATTTTTCAACAAGTTAGTATCTTCTCTTTAGCAAGAGCTATTGTGTCTTAGTTCCTATTTTTTATTCAAGCTCTGTGAATCGCTTTTAACAAGGTTTTTGAGACACTTGAGGACCTCAAGTAGCGCCTTGTTTCGGACGCCAACACTAGCATCATTTCCCTGAATAAATAACTGTTATAACCTGTTTTTTGAGATCACTTGCTTTCCTCTCATTTCCCCTTTGACACTTGTAATTCACTACGTCTTCCTCAGGCGTTTGAATCCTAACAAGACAAAGTCTAAAGAGTCGAAGTCTATGTTTCGCTCCAAATCATAGACACATCATTATAATTGGTGAATTTTCTTGGCATCGAGCCATGGGGTATTTTATCTGTAGTTTGATATCACTCAAACGTCTTAAGTAGGTGTTATAAAGGTATACCTATTTATAACAGCGTACTAATGATAGAACAGTAAGGGTGGTGGTGGAGAACTCACCGCTTAATTGCGCCTAGATAACCAGTCCATAAACTTCAAAATGTACAGCGATCTTTTAGCTTGCTTGTTTGTATTTGACATTCCAAGTTCTGAGGACCTTGTGATGTCGAGGGTATAAGATTTTACTGCCTTGAGCAACTCTAATTGGGTTTCATGGATGTTTCTTGACTGGCAGTAATCAATGTTCTATAAATGTCTCCAATTGTACTTATGATGTTTTTCTAGACTACCAAATTGACTGAGTTGTTTGCTGATCTGGTTGTCGATTAGCAGATGTACACAGTCTTCTTGAGTCTCCTAACAAACACTAGGTGCCATCATTTGGATAAATGAGCTACGGTGGCACTTACCTCAGCTTATTTGTCTCTCGTCTCTCGATTTTATCCTCACAGACGGTGTGCATGTGGGATATTAACGCGACACCCAAGGAGGGTCGCATAATCGATGCGCATACCATGTTCACGGGCCACACAAGCGTGGTGGAGGACGTGGCATGGCACCCCCTGCACGAGTCTGTCTTTGGCTCAGTGGCGGATGATAAGCGTCTCATGATTTGGGATACGCGTAGTTGTGGCAGTACCTCCACTGGTGCTGGAACCACTGCTACGGCGAGCAAGCCCAGCCATTGTGTGGAGGCGCATGCTGCTGAGGTGAACTGCCTCTCCTTTAATCCCTTCTCGGAGTTTATTCTCGCCACTGGCAGTGCAGATCGCACAGTCGCTCTTTGGGATCTCCGCTCGCTGCACATGAAGCTGCACTCTTTCGAGTCCCACAAGGATGAAATTTTCCAAGTGGGTTTTGTTTGGTGTGGTGTGCAGATTTTCCATCTGGAACGAATCAGTAATTGAGTGGGGTAGCTAAGTCGATGTTTAAATCGTTTCCAGTGGGAGCATAAACTTAGAATCCCGATTCAAGCATTCTTCTTTTTCTGCAGGTGCAATGGTCACCACATCACGAGACCATCCTAGCCTCCTCCGGCACAGACCGTCGGTTGCATGTGTGGGACCTCAGCAAGATCGGAGAAGAGCAGACCCCGGAAGAAGCTGAAGATGGACCACCCGAACTTCTCTTTATCCATGGTGGGCACACTGCTAAGATCTCCGATTTCTCCTGGAATCCTTGTGTACCCTGGGTCGTCTGCTCCGTCAGTGAGGACAACATCCTGCAAGTCTGGCAGATGGTATGTCTTTTCTTCTACTCACGCTGCAGCTTGTCTCATCCCTTCCCTCTCACCAGTGAGCAACTTTTAGCATTTTTTGGTACTTGTATTATTCGACTTTTGCCAATTTCGTGTACTGTTGGTAACAGTCTTCACCTTAGAGAGACGAAACTGATGCAAAACTTAAAAGCAGTCGGTTCACACAGCCCCGTTGTTTTATCACTTCACACTCGCCAAATGTAAGGGGTTTATTTTTCTCATGCATGATTAAGGTATTTTCCTTTCTCTATGTTTTGGCGACTGCTTTATTTACTTCAACAGGCGGAAAATATTTACAACGAGGATGAACCGCCACTGGCCATCGAACCAGAGTAGAGGCGGAACAGACCACGTGCATAACTCCTCTCATCACTCGCCCGCGAAAAATGAGAACAACGACGTCTTACCGCATTTCGTACTCTTGACACATCACCATCATCTCGAGCTCACCGCCCTCTGTACTATTGAAATACCTTCCCATTGTTTGAAACGGCTCAAGTCTACGTTTGATGAACCAAATCAGTGCAAACTGTTTCCATTATTTGCCCTTTAAGGAAGCTTAGGAAGGGTCGCGAAATTATTCTTTTGAAAGTTTGTTTTGAGCTAAATGCTCGAGCACTTGTGAGATGTAGGAACTTAGGGACTGGCGCCTGTGCTAAGATGTCAGTTGAGACATCAGGTAACCTGAATGAGGCGGGTTAAGTTTTGCGCCTATTTCGACGCGACGTCCCACTGGCGCGAGAGGTGCAATAATTCGTGTGCACTGCAATGAGCTGGGAAGTGGGGCAAAAGCTTTTTCAAGTACACGCTCTCTGAGTCCACAAAAGGTTTTTGCGAGACTTGTTGTGAGTGGCGATTTCGTTTTGTTACTCCATGGTTGACGTGGAAATGCTAGTTTAGGTGAGAGTAGCTATGTCCTCTTTGACCCTTCCACCAGTCTATCCGAGCTGAGTGTGGGCATCTACGAGTTCCCAACTGCCGCGGGATGCTGGTCTTTTTTTGAATTAGAACGCAAGCAATCCAAAACGCACTCCCAAGAGAGACATCATATACTTATTATATAATAAATAAAAAATCCAATAAATCAAATAAATAATCCTTGAATTTGCATAAGAAAGTAGGTTGCGTCCCTAGTCAACATCAACGCCATTTTTGGCGAGAAATTTCCTTAAATACTCCAACACCGACGCCTTGACTTCCGGAGGCACAGTGCCTCGAGCTGAGGGAGCTACAGCCTCTACAACATCGTCAACATTGACGACGTCAACGCCTTTAGAGCGAATGAACTCCTTACAGGCGCCTTTAACTCGATCATTCCAACCGCATTCCACTAGCTTCTTTTCAATCATCTCACGTATCCTTTCCCGTTCGCCCTTGGCATTCAAGAGGTCGTTAATCTGAGCCCTAATTTCCGCCCGTTTGTCACCCATTTCGAAGCCCTTTTGATGACCAGAACGGCTCGACTTCAATCAATTCGCTTTTATCGATTAAGTACCAGATTTGAGGAACAGCAGAACCAATGAGCTTAGAGCGGGCTATTTGACTCTTCGACCTGCTTGTAAACAGAAATCGTTTAAATGCAGTGAAACCTTTGTCACACCGATATTGTTCATCAATCTTTGCTATGAATGTCACTCTGCAATACTACAAAATTATTCGCTTTTGTTTAAACTGGCACCTTTGAAATGACGTTATTTAGGTATTCTAGTTTATTTTAAATCCATTTACAATATTTAAAAGTTGATGTAAATAATAAACTTATTAATCGTTATGTCGTGCATTCTTCGCTGCAGTCTCATTAAGGTTGACAGTACTTCCTTCCCGTTGCATGAGAAGACAATTGTAATGTCGGTCCAAATAGGATTTGCAAAACTTATTTGCTACAGGAGGTTTTATTCTGCATAGTGGTGTGGTAAAAGATGTGCGTAGAAGTAAGGAGAGGGTATCGTCCTCGTCAGTGGAACCGCGTTTTCCTGAGTTCCCGCCTTTACTAAACAAAGGTCGATTTAAACAAAGGATGAATTTGATGGGGTGTGTAGATTTTCCCCATCCCATATATATATTTTTCTCTCCGATAGATGAGTGCCACATGTTGAATCGCTTCGAGACATCTTATTCTGCACGAAGGATTCAGGAAACAATCACCAAAGCTTTGTCACTTAATCTCAGTCTGCGTCTGTAAGATGCAACTCTGAAGTAGTCGACTGCGCGTGCAAATGTTGCATATAACTTCGTACATTAGAAGATGTAAAGTCCATCTTTAACAGGTGAGTTTTGCATTCATTTTTGTTTCAAAATGCTTAACGTTAATTACCAGTGGTGATATCAACTGCGTTCTCATAAGTTCACGTGTTTTTGTTCCGGCGACGTTTCATCACTTTTTCCTTTTCCAAGCTTTTTCCACCTATAATGCACACCTTAATTTCTAATTCTTCTTGTTAAATTTGGATCACAAATTCTATATGCTAAATCGCTTTATTGTGAATGCAACTTTACGATACGACCTTTTCATCGAAGCACATTCGCTCCCTACAAACGGATCACAATTTCTGCTTCAAAGATTGGTTTTCACCGGTTATGCACTCAATTTGTTAAAAACGTCTTCATTCTGTCTCCCACGTTTTATCCTTCTGGCATAATATGCGCTTTTTCTTCAAACGTGCACACGTCGTTTTTTACCTTTTTTAGGTCGTCTGTGGGGACGTCAGTTGTGGTTTGGGGTAATTCAAGGCCCCGGAATAGTCATTTTCGTGCATTTGTCAAACTCATTTTCATACCATCTCTTAAATTTGCTGTCGTAAATAAAGCAATTTTGCATCGTTCCTTTGCATCCTCTTGTGGAGAGTTTTGTCCCTTGACAATTTACGCGGACGGAGTGATCCCTACGAGGTCAGGGTGTTCCTTTCGTCGTGCGGTTGGGGTTGGCTGTCCGACTACTTCTTGCGCTGAGAGTTTGTTCGGCGACTGCTTTTTGCAGCTGCGCAAGTTTACACTCTTTTTAAGGGCTGTTTTCACTACCATGCGAGTCATTTCGACAACACTTGGCGCCTCCACTGCTCTCCTCTCTTAATGTCGCTTTCCATTGGCCTCCGAGCAAGTCCATGGTTCCGCATCTTCAAAGAAAAAAAAAACACTTAATTTAGCAAATTTGAATGTCTCATCCTTTCTTAACATTGCTGCCACAGTTTAGCATTTGGTAGCAAGTGGCACAATTTTTTTTGCATAACTTCTCTTTTCAGCCACTTTTTGTCCCAATCTGATAACTTGCTCGAAGCACAAAACTGCTTTCCCCTTTTGCCGTGAGGAGCTTCCCAACGCTCCCAGCATTCATGATGTTGGTGGGGCTTGACAGCTGTCACTTGAGAATCGCATTCAAACTAATGCGTCTTGCACGTCCAAAGGAGTGGTTCCATTATCGCACAGCGCGCTTCCTGGCGTTTCCAAGGTCGACTTCATACGCCTGAGTTTCCTTTTTAAAGATTTAAAAAGGTGCCTTTTCGAAATTTCTGGAATCGTAGATGTGGGTGTTAGGCTTCGTTACCGTGAGATTTTGTTGGTCGTAAACTCCGGTGAAGTTTCCCTGAGGAACCGCCATCATCCACCCGACAATCGTGCGTGTCAAAGGCGGTAGTAGCTGTTTGACAGGCTCGTCTGCCAGTCACAGGCTTCATGTCAGTGACTGGGTCGTCGAAATGTGCGATTTTCCTGTGGAAATGCAAAGTGTGGCAACAACATTTCCCCCTCCTTATCATCAACCCGCAGGTGATGATTGTAAAACGCATTTTAAGTCTCTAATTTGCTTGCCACCATTAAATGTTTGTCTTTTGCTCACTTTTTTTCCCACTTTATTAAAATGTTGGTGAAATTCGAGGGGATTCAAGCAATTTAGTAATTGCCACATCAAACAAAATCTTGTGGAGCTATGGAGGACCAAATCTCCCAACCAAAAACATTTGACTCGTCGCACTCCTGAACTGCATTGCCGTCTGGACACGTTTTTGTTTGAATCGAAATCGCTGTTGCAGCGTGGAAGTGCCAACGGCTCGCCGCTTTCCTCCCACTCGCCAACTAATTCGCCGTGGCGACAGCATCCATCATGACATTCACCCACCTCATCATCGCCTTGACCTGTCGATGCTGCAATTTTATCCCTTGACAGTGTCGGACTTGGCCTCTGACATCACGACGTTTCGTGATAAAATTTTCCCAGGTAAGTTGTTAAGAGTGGACCAAAGGTTGTGTGGGAAGTAATTCTGATGGAAAACACAGAATTCTGTTTAATCCTGCAAATTTTTCATTGGCGCTTGGAGCGTGGAAGAGGGTTGTGCCCAAGATGGACACCATGACTTTGTCGATGCACTCGCACTTTCCATGACTGGTGCTACTGTGGGAGCAGTGAGGTTTGGCACTCCTTTCTGACCGGCTAGCAGCACTTCACCTAAAGCTCTTTACGGCGCGATGTATCATCAAGGGTTCGCATCCCGAGAGACTGAAGCGTGCCATTTCATGCACAGCGAAGAATGTGTTTATCCACTTCACCATCCACCATCAGGTGGAAGTTTATATCTTTTTGAGGATCCCTATTTTTTAGCGTAACGGTTCAGCCTTATCTCGATGGCTTGATTCAAAAGTGTGCTTTGATGGACAAGAACGAGCCATTATGGTGGGTCGCTCTTCACGAGTACGGCCTGTTGAAAAGCGAGGGTCAGTGATCATCAACAGTGCGACACAAGGCATGACTGCATGCAGTGTTCCATTCCATGCGGTCAAAGAACCATTTCAAGCTCCTTATCGTGCGATTCTCCTTCTTAGCGGTCACTGATGAACAATAAATCGGGTGATTTTGAGTCATTTCATTTTCCTACACATCTTTTGAAGCTTAAGGATGGCGCCAACGACCTCGCGAAGGCCGAGGAGTTTGGTGAAGGGGATTCAGCACATCCAAACAGACTGGTGGTGATTATTTGTCTTTCCTTCCACAATTGTTTGGCTGGAATTGAAAGACTACAATGTTTTGCTACAAAACTGCAATTTCCATCAGAATTACGCAAACTCACATCCTCTTTAATTATGGTACCTTGAAATTTATTTAGCTCGTTAAAAGGTTGAGTTGCCACCACAGCAGCATGGATTCCACCTCGGCTCGGAGGCATGGCAGTCTGCCACTCAAGTGAAGCAAACCACCTCTTCGTCGTTTTGGAACTGGAAACCTTGATTTAGATACTTGCCTAAATTTTCACACCGACGTCATTTAACGCCTCTTTTACAGATCCGCATTGTGAGAGCACAGCTAAAAGGTGCGATCTCTTCGACCTCCACGACTTGTGCTTGGTCTTGACTCGGCAACAGCTTTCAGGCCACGCGCCGATAAATGATGTCGTCATACGCTTAGAACTGCGTCCTTAAAAAGTATGGAGGCAAAATCAGAACACGGTACAGTCTCGAAATATTTTTTTTTTATTGCAAGTACTTTGCCATTTTAACATAATTGACTGATTCTAACAGAATAGAGGTCTCTGTCACTTTCAAAAGGAGCCTCAATTTTGATCTTCAAATCAACCATGAGAATGCACGGGGAAGGCAGAGGATCGGTAGTAGACTCTTCTTCAATGCTTTTCAGCATCTTCTTGATAAGCAAATGCGTTATCAAAGAAATTTATGGGCTCTTGAGCCATCTGAAGGTGTTGTTGCTCTTGCTGTTGTTGTTGTTGCTGCTGCTGCTGAGGGTAACATGTAGAGGTGGCAGCCAAAGGCTGAAGGTGAAAAGCCATAGTTATCCCCTGTTTTGTGGAACCCTCGCGTTGCCATGGCGCATCACCATCGCCATTGTACCGAATGTTGTGATCGAATGGCAGGTAAGCAAATGGCATAGCCACAGTGCCGTTATTTTCTACCTGAAGATCATCAAATAGTGTCGTTGGACCTATAAAAGCAGACAAAGGAAGAACTTTACCTACACTTGCCAAACAGACAGTTAAAAGGCCCAATTATTTCCACTGCGTATATTACCACCGAAAGTTGGTCGATTCGCCAGGAACAGACAAAGGCTATAATAAAGCGCGCAAAAACAACGAAGTAATTTTGTATGGAGCATCCAAGCCTCTAATACAGTGACCTACAACACATGAGGGAGCTGCTCAATCACCTGAAAGAAGTATGTCTCCCAAGAGGTCATCCAGTCTGAGTGAATTGATAGACCCATCTGATTCTCCCGCAGCAGAGGTATTGGCTGCAGCAACGGCAGCAGCAGCAGCCGCTGAAACGGTAGCAACGCTTCCAATTCGGGCCACAAGAAAACCTGAAACCCGTTGCAATGTGGGCACTAGAAGAAGCAACTCCCCGAATCGACCCTCTGGGAGGTACTGGTTGTCATTCATAACGTTCATAAGTTCAATTTGCAGTCGACTTCGCGACGCTTCTATGGTTAGTCGTCCGTTGGGAGAGAGATTAAGGTGACCTTTGCAAATATTGGTAGTACCATTTAATCCAGTGTGTTAAGTTAAAATATTAAGGAAAAAAGGCAATCAAGGCTAGAACTGTGGACCGAATCTGCTGACAAACGATTGCCTAAGCGTTTTTCACTCCTTTGAATTTCGATCAACCGCACAATTCGATTCGCAAAAACCCGTAGCTTTACTGAAACCAACAAAAGGGCTCTACCGTTGTTGAGCTAAAGGGACTTTGAGGGGCTGAGGTCACCTTGTTTAAGTCAGATAGGGCTGTTTCGAGTATGACTAAGTGGTCTTTATCATTGACGATCGTCGAACTGCAAATTCCATACTTGCCTTTGAAGATCGTGGACGCGTAAAATCACGCTTTATCGACTCCCGCACCAATACAACTCAATTTAGCATAAGCTGAGACACCAAGACTGCTGGGCAGTTGCGCATTGTAAGTGAATGCTCCTCTTGGGTTTTAACTGGAACGAATGAAATCCCTTGGTTTTGTTAACAAGGGCAACCCAAGGCTTCGACCATTGTTTATCTTGTATCCAGCATGGCCCACCAGCCGTCCTTACAACCCAAAAGTTCTTCTGCGCACTTCACTTCACACAATGCTCAATGGGAAAGATTTGGAACACTACTATGCATGTCATTGAATATGATGTACTATAATGTCTTATAAAATTTCTCGAGACAAGCTTTAAGGATGGTAGAATTACCTGCACTTAAGAAAATGATTGCCTTGAGACAGATAAATTCTGTTTCTCCAATGGCCAACTCCAAAAGTGGTCGATAAATGGTATTAGCAATTACTTTGAGGATAGCATCCAACTTGCTATCGTCGGCGCAGCAAGGTATAGCTGGATATTCATTACGACCACCACCGCTGCTTCCCTTAATCACCTCCATAAACGCGACATTTAACCGATGGAAGAGGTTGTTGAAGGATCCAGTTTCATCGATATGTTGAGTCGAGGTGCTAATGGCCTGCCAAACCATGCTTAACAGGAGCAATTCACCCGAGTTTCCACGAAGCAAGGTCAACTAGACCATATAAAAGAACAGACTTACAACTTTCCTACGCCCGTAATGTCATTGCTACTTATAAGAAGCTACCTGATCTTGCATATCAAGATTGACAAAGCAGTCCAGTTGTCTCGCCCAGTTGATTAAACGAAGGAGATGAATTTTCATGGCTGAGCAGATTTCTGATAGGCTCAGTGGACCAGTAGAGGAGAGGTCCTTCGCCTCGATCGTCTCAGTCGTCTACTCAACAAAATGGGATTATTTGTCTAAAAAGCTTCACCTCTTTGGATTCAACTTCGGCTCTAAGTAGGGTACTGATATCGATGAGCATCCCATTCAGTCCTGACGCGTCGCAAAATGGCCGCCGATTGCTGATCTTATCGCGTTCATTTTGAACTGCTACAAAAGTGACCTTGACATTAAGGTACTACTGAAAGTTTGGCAGTAGACTAAACACACAAAATATGAGCTCACCTGCCCGATTCATACCCACACGAAAGCACTTTTTCAGACGACAAAAACGGCATTGGTTACGCATGTCTTTGTCGATTGTACAAGCTCGATTGTATCGGCAACTGTAGGTGTGTTTTCGGCGCACAGAACGTCGGAAAAATCCCTTACACCCGTCACAAGAATACGCGCCGTAGTGCTTGCCTTTTGGAAGAACGATCAAACTTACTTGACAGAATATGGGAAGTGGTGATGAAAGCTATGCTTCATTCAAATCTCACGATAGAAAGTTTAGGCATTCCTGACCCATGGAACCCATTGACGCGCACGTTCTACTTGTCCCTCGGGTACACAAATTTCGTGCACGAATTGGTATGCCCTATTGCATTACCAAACGTCCCCATTGTGGGGTTTGACTCTCCTGATTTAGTGTTCAAACAAACGAACAACAAAAAAAAAGAGCCTAAGGTTGGTGTCGACGTTTTACTCCAACTCTCACTTCGAGTTTCGCCAGTTTAACGTGCTATACACAGACATGTGGAGATGTCATAAAATGTGATAGAATGTAGGTTTTGTAATAGTGATCCCTTTTGGCTAACAACAAATTATTAATATATGAAGCATCAGATATAAAACCCAGCCTTGTAATCATAAACTTCGCTCTACCAAGTGAGGCTGACTTGATTCCACAAGTTCATTACTTTGCAGTCGAAACTTCCACATGTACTCCGCAAAGTGGGTGTCAGCCACAATGCGTCAAGATACCAATTTTGGATAGGCAGCACGCTCAATGAGACTCTCACAGACCTACTGCAACAATGAGGGATCACGTGTTGCAATATTATCAATTGGCTTGAGGATAAGGCACGAAGAAATATATCCAGTCGAGTTAAAACATTCCTTTAACATCTGATCCAGCTGAAAAAGGAGGGTCTTAAAGCGATGTCAATCCCCTTCATGTAACAGAGTGAGCCTCAATGACTTGCCAGTATTTATGGTGCACCTTGACTGGCTAGGCAACATGTCTCCCATGCTTATCTAGCAAACACAACACACAAGTGACGACATCAAATGATCCGCTTACTACTCGCCATATCTCTTGTAGAAATACATCTCCTTCTTCCAGGAGAACAGTACCTGTAGGGACGGTAAAGACAAAATGTAAAGCATGAGTGGTGCCTTCATTCTTCATTCCCTTCCGCTTTGTGAAACAACATTAGAGTAAGACCTTGCATGAGCATGTTATCTGGAAACATAAACCTTTGAATTTCCTATAGAATGGAAAAAAGTCTCACCCTTACCTTCTTAATGGCTAGTGATAGTCGTGTTTCGTTGAAACACCTTCTGATTGGTGGAATCGAGTGCCAGTGATATTTTTTTGTACTCGCATGTGTCTGTGTGACGCCATCTGAGCAAACAATCGGCGCACAAGGCCGCCCCAAATTGAGAACAGTAGCATGTCTCCTGCCCCTTCCCTTCTCCAGCCCCACCCTCTTGCCTATACAAACAACCGACAGGCGTGCTCGCACACAGTTGCACGCAGTATAAATAAATAAAAGCGCACATACGCATGTGTTCGCATGTCGACCCCCATCCTCCTTCTTATCCACACACATACACACACGCATGCACCTCGCTCTCTGATTGGTCCTCCGTTTCAAAACGCGCTATCCGCGCGCTTGAGCGCAATTTGGCCAATAATGGCCAAAAATCTACCCACATTTTATACCTTTTCATACTTTTTCCTCCAAATAGAGCTTCGAATCAAAAGATCATTTTTTTGAGTGTATTCCATAAAGATGCTTTCAGTGATGTGGGTCAAATGTCGTTCTTAGAGGTAATTTGACCGGCATATGGTGGAGTCTTCCAAATGACCGAATTTCGGGAGACGCACAACAATAGGTTAAGCTTAAGCACTTTGAGGTTTCACAGTCACTACTACCCACATGCAATCTATAGTATTACTGAGAGTAGAACGATATCATTCATGAAAGTTAAGATAGCGAAACAATAAATGCCTATAATGGCTTTCAAGAAGTAGTCATATGATTAACTGCCTAATCCAACGGCCTAAGAAGAGGCATGGCGATAGAGACAGCAGTGCGGAGATCATGCGGTTGACAAAGGGCGCTGTAATCGAAAGTTTTACGGGTTCTTTAATCTCCGAGGTCAATTTGTTTTCGCCGCCATTACAGTAAATGAACAAATGGAGATTAACTTGGGGACTCCATCCCTTTTTATTGACAGTGCTCCACGTGCGTGGACCTTTTAGGCATCAGCAAAACACCATCCACTTAAATCCATGCGACTTAGTGTTTTTACAAACTCCTTCTTTCCTGCCGAACTACGTGTCTATTTTTCCCCAGTCTTTGAGGTAAGAATTGACAAATACGAGCTCCTTTCTACATTTAAAAGCTTTCGTGTCAAATTTGTCTTAAGGCACTCACCTAGCTCCGAAAATAAATTCTAAATGGCGCATTTATTCAAATGATATAAACCCTATCGCACGAGTTTGTCAATGATTAAGGACTTTATGGAAACACTTTCCTTTCCAACTTGTTCATTAATCACTTGCGAGGTAGTGGTAATGGTTAACATTATATAGTTGGGTTAGAAGCTCTTAAGTGGAAGTTTGTTAGCTAATTGTGGTGAGACCATAACCTTGCCAGTGTTAGGCAAACTTCAAGCGTCTATCTCAAGTAATAAATCCGAAAGAACACAGGATAGGGGTATCACAAACTGGGTGCCTGCATAAATCGTTCAGGAAATTTCCTGCATTGCAGATGGAGAGGGAGAGAGACTAATGACCGCATTTTAGCGTGCTCTCTAGGAAAATCTCTTGTTATTTAGAAAACAGGTAGTGCAAACAAGACTAAAAAGTGTTTAACCTTACTTATAATTGATGTAAGTACTGTGTTAAACACGAAAAGCCAAATAACTACCTAATAACTTTACCTCTCTACATCATAAGACAGCCAGAGGCAATGCCAGATGTGAAGGGATCCTACAGCCTGAGAAGTAAAGAGCAGAGAGAATGGAAATTAGTTTGATGCATCCCCATTCCCAGTATTCTCGAATTGCCTATTATTACCGATATTTTCATTTTTACTATCCACACATGCAGAATAGAAAATAAAGGCTTAATGAATATTGATAAAAATTGAGGTCGGAACAATTTTTTTATACCATCAAGACAAAAAATTTTTTGTAAAAGAGGTGCCGATGCTAAGGGTCACTCTGTTGTCGGATAGGAGCACATTATTTTTGTCCTTCTTAAGAAACGGAGGGCTGACTGTGACGCTAAAAAGAGCACTACATCTGACTGACATAAGAAGGTACTTAAATTACTAGAAACAGTATTTTTTTAACCTTTCCATCGGTGACAGAAAGAGTTCAATTTTAGCTTGATAAAGAATCGAAAATCAAGTCATCCTGGCATAAAATTAAAGGCTGAGAATAATGATGAATCATGTAGAATCTATCCTTCCACCCTGATATTTTGGACTCAAGCGATTGCAAATCAAAAGCACTACTTTATTAACCGCGTCTAGAGAGACTTTTAGATTTTAAATTAAATCCCACCTGTCGCTTTGTCACCACAAATGAGGCAATTCGAGATGGGCAGAGACGCAGAAGCCGAGGGCGGTCTGTCATCGATTTTTGCTTCAAAGGAGGTCATTAGTGGGTCTTCCTGATGTGGATCCCTTCCTACCAGGCTCTCCTCCCCCTTTACAGCACTTTGAGGACCGCGACGACAACGAGACCTTGGGGTTGAAGCCACATCAGGGGTACGCGAGTACCCTTCGGGTGTGGTGCTCCCATTGGCCACAGCCGCTAGCATTTCACCTTTAGCAATCCCTGTTTCTGGGTTAATCTCTGTAAAGTTGAAGAGGGAGCGAAAATGTCATCATACTGCATGTAGGCCACAAGTTATCTTTGTGGAAGGACGACATCTTGTGCATGTACTATGTGTGTATACCACTCTGCGCCAATTTTCCACTACTTACTCTTCCGATAGTCCTCGTGACTGGCGATTAGTGGCTCGGGGCAGGTAAATCCAATTGGCTCAAGAACGGGGGCATAGTAAGCGACATTTGGATCGACTGATGCCTCCCATCGTAATTGTGTCTGGTCTGGGAGATAGGACCTATAGACGTCAGTTGACTGTATCGGTTCAGCGGGACATGGAGCTGACAATGGTGTGAGCCATGCACTATTATGATTGGCCATAGGGGTTCCATTGTAATAAGAAGCAGTCCCAGAAACATTATCCACAAAATTTGTTTCGACAAGACTCGGTAGGAGGAGGGATGAATCTTCAAGAGAGAAATGTTACCAAGTAAAATTCCCGCATCCTTAAAGAAGGAGTGCGTGTTACGAATGGTATGCTTTGAGTTGTACACTAACAATATTCTGCACGAGCCGACCACCAAACGCTTAACTACACCCCAAATCACTAAAAGTATTTAAATCACTTGTAAGTTTTTTTTTACTTTCGGCGTAGAGAAGCACGAGGGCTACCTACAACCAATCAACAACACCAGTGGCAGTGGATAAATGTACAAAATATAGGGAAAGGATGAATGGAAGCTGCATTTAATTTGTACGCCCTCTCCACAGTGGTGCTCCATTTCTACCATCGAAATGGCTGGTTCAATCATTGAAGATGAGTTGATGCCTAGATCAGAATCAGACTGCAACAACTATAATTACTTAAAACACAACAAAATATGATTAACTTCTCGTTCTTCAATTGAATGAAGTGGTTTGCACACTCCATTGACTAAGGCTCAATTAGCGACGTTGACAAGTTGATTGACTCCAAAACACCCTACCCCCTTCCTCAACCAAAGTTGGACTTTGACACTGAAAATATCAAAATGGAGTCATGAAATAGTCCATATTGTCCTAGCACAATCAAAGCGAACTTTGGTGTGCATTAAATGTTGTAGAAAAGGTGTTTTTTAGTGAAAACTGAAGTTTCGCATTCAAAATTGCTTAAGATTGCTTAGATTGCATTTTTCAAAAAAAAACCTACCATTGTTCAAGAAGCTCAAAATCACGACAAGTGATTCATAAATCAGATGATCGTCAAACCAGGGCTCGCATAATAGTGGATTACTTGTACTTTCCCTTTTTGTGTACGTTCGAAGTTACAGCTAATAGAAATCCCCCCTCTTTTCCATTTCGTTCCTCACAAAATGTCATATTCAACTCGGTCCGCCTCGTAGACACCAAACTGATTGGCTACGAGAATTCATCCAATCAATGGAAAAATCGATATGATTAGTAATAGAGTTTCAGTGCGTGTTGGGTTGGTATGTCCAGTTTACTTGGCATTTGAAGGTGAGAGTTCATGTGAAACCCTTTGATGATGAAAATGTCTATGAGAGATGATGAAAGAGTGGAAAACAGCCTTAGACAACTGACTTCCACCATAGGCTGCGTATGGTCAGGGCTAACTTTTGTTACCTTTACCTGCTGAAACGCACTTTAATATTGAGCAAATTCAGGTGTGCGAAAGAATAGCAGAAGTAAGGAAACGCCCCATTTTAATGACATCTGACCTCCCCGCAACGTTTAGGTCCAAGGCGGGATTAACATTACAACCTTCTAGTTTTTCCAAATAATGTTCGCATCTTTTGAGGTCGTTATTGGGAGAAAATTCGACCATCATTTAGGGACGGTAGATGCAAAATGTGCTTAAACTGAGGTCAAGGCAAAGTACACCACATGTGGATTTGCTTTAAAGGCGAAGATGGATGAGTGTGCTTAAGTAAACTGGATTAAAGGGCACCAGGAAGACGACGCCATCTCTTGGACTCTCCAAACTCACCCACCTTATCAGTAAGGTGACGGGGAGGAGGAGCTGATTACAAACAGTTGGCCAGCACGTACGCACATTGCTTTACCTCTCGCATCACAATACTCTTCCTAAAGCGCTAGAAGAACTCATCTTTTCTAGACAAGTTTTCGTTAAGATTGTTTTGATCTTTGATCTCTGCATTCTCTCCCCGTAAAGACAAAAATTATTTGGTGTTGTTGATAGCGTCCATAGGTATTATCGAATCTGAAGCAGCGCTTGATTACAGCATTGGAGCTGAAATGCGAATAATTGAGAGATAGACATTGAGGATTGTCAATTTTCAAACATTGGCTCAAAAAAGTGACGCATGTTCATTTGGTAGCGATTGTCTGAGCGACCTTAAGAGGAAGCCCTTTCCTTACACTGCGGGAAACTTTTGGTTCTTTTAATACTTTTGTGGCTTAGATGCTGAAAAGTGATGTGATATTAGTCTCTGAACCGTAGTTGTACCATTTAAAAAATGAAAAAAGGTTCTTCTAAATTTCACAGCCTAATGACTTTGATGGCTCCTATTGGATAGAAGTGGTAAAAATCAAAATATGGGAGAAAAAATTGTTTTGTCTCTAGAGCCGACTATAAGCGGATAATTCTTCGGTCACTGCCATTCTTGAAAGGTGGAATTGAGGCCATTGAAGGCAATAATTGAACAGCCAACACCCGCGATTCCCCTAGACGACAAGCTTTGGGCTACGCACAGAAATTGAATCCCGCAAACAAGACAAGGATGCAGAATAAGGTTCCTTTTAAAGGCCACAGTTTTTATTAAAGGAGCAACGCGAAGTAATTTTGCAAAAACGAAACACTTTACTGCACGTTTAAGACGTGAATTACAACATTCAAACCTTCACTTTGGTAAGTCATGCCGTGAGATGGGGAGGCCTCTGTGGGGCTACTTGATTTGTCACCTCTAGGCCTTTGTTTTATTGCAAGGATTACTATTACTTGGGTAATGACGAAGGATGCAGTGGAATTGGGACATAATTTAAAATTCTGCGGCGTTAAAAACAGGAAGGAACCCACACGCACGGCAAAATTAAGTCCCTCCTATCGGACATTTCTCATACATGCAATGCAAGAACGACTCTTACCCGGGTACTCTGCACCTTGATGGCAGTTCAAACAACATCTAACATGTCGCTTCCTCGTAATGCCTGAAATGCTCTTGATAACATTCAATTTCTCTCAAGAAAATGCACCAAAGCATTGAATGCTGATGGGTCACTGTGCAGACTTATGGCTACGCGGGGAATTTTTGCTCCCAAACTCGTTATTGAAGCCGTCTAAAGCCTTACTAATGACGATTTAAGCCGTCAAAAACAAATGTCTTGGCTCTGTACGCTCACGTAAGGATGAAACCATATGATACAGAACTTGCAATCCACTTCAGTCTATTCACTGGCTAACCTTCAGGAGCGATGTGGAAGGTGACTGCACTAAGAGCATTCCATTAGCTGTCACTCGCTGTCTGGCAGTCAGTGATCACAGACCAGACTGTGGTATGAGAGAACAGAGTTCGGAATGTAGGTCCGCTGAACCCCAACAGATGTTGAAGGGTTCAGAAGTCCAAAACAGATGCATACACACACGGAGAGAGGCACACACACACACAAACACATACACACACTCACACACGCATGGATATAGTCACCTTTAGACCCCAAAACGTTTCGGCTTCCCCAGCATCTCTCCGGCCAAAGTCTACCTTGAGATGAAAATAGACACATAAATGCACAGATAAGGAGACACTCACCGTCCTCGAACCCCTCGCCAGAAGAGTTTACAAGAGGCTGCTGGTGTTGCCGTGGTTGGGCTATGCCACTGCTACTGCCATTATAGAGGTCCATTTCGAAGTCGTGTGGATTCATGTCTACTCCGGAGGCTCAACACCTACCCACTACTGGCTCCCCTCGTAGTACAACCACAGTTAAGTGGTCATACGGACGCACCTGACGCGCATTCACACGCAGACACACACGCACGCGTCGATCGCCGATCGACGGTGGTTGGATGTGTATTGTGCCGTGGTGTGGCGTGCCATGCTATGCAAACATTGTTCGCGGTGTGTTTGAACAACCGGAGAGTAGGGTGCAGAAGGAGTAAAGCGTGACAGCAGGCGCGTTGGATAAATAGACATGTAGGACGGATAGGAAGGTTGACCGATTCTCGTATGTTTACTTTGCACTGTGGAAACAGACTGTGGTGAATAGAATGGGCGGACCAGTGGACGGCTACAATGGGGTGAGACCGTCGAGGCCTTCTCAAGCTCAACAACCAGGATAACATATGATGGTATCGAAGATAAGCCCCCCGTCCAGGCACCAAAGGCATGCAGCAGTAACATGGTGCGTCAGAGTGTCTTGTGGCCTACAGTTTGGCCTTCATGATGGTGTTCTAGTATGATTCGCTAGAATGTAGATCCTTGGCAATAAAAGACGGTATCACATCGAGTTTCCGGTTTTAACCAAACTGACACATACTTCAAATCAATTCTGGTTTTGCAAGCGGAGCCTGCAAGCGTTTGCTTGCATCTGAAAAATTTTTAATCCACTGAGACGTAATCCTTCACAATAGCGTAAACCGTCTTTGAAACGGTGTTCTAGTTGTCATTTAGTGCATTTCTACTGACTGTTGCTGCTTGTGAAAAATCTGCCCTCTCTGTGACATCAGCAGTGAAGTTGTGCCGCAGAACCGCTCCTCAAGATGTGCAAATCAGTCCTTCTGCCAGTCCGAGCCGCTCGTCGGCCAGACGTTTTAACCAGACAACAGCAGACGTCGCGGTGTTCAGCACCATAGAAGAAGCAGTGCAAATTGTTATGTGGTGTCCTTTGATGCAGCTCCCTGAGTAGATGCTAAGAGTTTGTAAGAACAAAGTGCGATTTTAACTCTTTGAAGTGCATTTTAGCTGGTTTCTTTTAAGCTGCACAATTCGGAATTTGCCTCTGCACTATAGCACTCAGCTAGACGGGAGGTCCACGCTTTCAATTAAAGCTTAAGAGGTGATAGACAGTTGAGACGTCGAAATTGTTGGAGGAATTCAAAGCATTACTTGATTGTTGCTCAACTTTTTTGGTTCATGATGTTCTGGGGACCTTAAACTCGACGAGGCACCATCACAGAAAGATTGCAAACAGGCCTGGATGTTAAGCCTTTTACTCTTCGTGATCATTTGGCAGTAGGGTGGTGTCTAGTGTTTTGACTTGCAAAATATTATAATTTCAAAGATTTACAACAGCAAATGATGTAATTGCCACCATCGCCACCGCTTAGAGGAGTGCCATCAACAGGCGGTAAGACAGGATCCACCCTTTCGAATCGGTTTCCGCCAATTGCCACTTTGAATCTTCGCAGTATGCGGAACATAGGAAGGGACGCATTGTAGGCTTTCAGTCCTAATACTTATGTTACCGAAAAAGTTATACCAAGATGTTATATTGCGCGTCGCACGCAAGACTCTTTCATTTGCCCACTTTGGTTGGCATCAAGGTAAGCAGATGGGTTTGTATACAAACCTTTTTCTCAGTAAGATTAAACTTCCCTTTCTATATTTACCGTGTTTGCTGCAGAAGGGAGGAAAGTCGCAAGACTTACAAATTACGATCAATGTTTTTTGCACGGTGGTTATGAAAAGCCGCATGTGTCTTATGCTTTTTCTACCCAATTTGCGCAGAGGTCAGTGTTAAGACGGAGCGTGATAAGAGGAAGGACACAGATTTTCGCTGTAGAGGTTAGACTTGTGTATTTTGCAAAAAGTTACTGCTTTGATATCTTGTTCAAAGTGTTATGGAAATATCCTAGTCTTACCATTCAGCATTTCTCTATACACTCAGAAGTTATTCAATTGCTCAAACCATCCCTCGAACAAATATTGTATTTTATTTACATGCTTTGCCTACTTATATTTTTTAAGTAAAAAGACTAGTTTCATCGAGATGCTAAAATGGCATTGTATATCACAACACACGCTGGAAAGCGCTAACGTTCATTTCAGATAACTACGTAATAGAAGTGCTCCTATCTGACAAACAAAAGATGGTAATTCCAGAGCGACGATGAAGCGGCGCTGTTGCTGAGAGCAAGATTGTGTGCTTCTATTGTTAAGCATCGGAAATCGTGAACGGACAGCAACTTCAACATGTCCTCTCTTAGCTATAAGCTTACATGCTCAAAAACTACATAAGTTATTTTTGATACCTGTAACATTAGTTGTTTACAAGGCTCAGAATTTTTATGCAACTGTATTTAAGGTTTCAGTTTTCCCTTGGATTTCTCTTTTGATCTCAAAACGTTTTGGCATAGCCCCACACTCTTGAAAGCGAGAACAGGCTACAGAGCTCAGAATGGTGAACGCATATGTCAAAGGTACTTTCAAGCCACATGATGTTTACGAAGCTGACAGGCGACGATGATGGCGATTAAATGCATGAGATGGCCTTTAATGGCCATTTATTCTAAATGCATTCTGTAGCGAAAATACTTAAATGATGAGCAATTTTTGAAGATGGAACGGACGGTCCTTGATGATCATTTGCATTGCTCCTCTGTAGCATCACCACTAATTGTTTTTTTCAGCTTCTGTTTTCTCCACTTATGATTTACTTCCTCCTATTAGCTAAGAAATCATTTTGAGTGCGATTTTTATCGCAAGTTTATCATTTAAAATTATTTTGTTCCGCATGCTTCTCCCTTATTTTTTTGTCGCCACTGCGCCCAATCATAAGAACAACAGGGCGAACGCAGTGGCCCTTCTCGGCGTCGTTGGCGCCAGATTCGGACGTCGTTTACTACCAGGAATTCGTATTTAAAAGACACATTCTTGTTTACCGGAACATCTTATCAGCACGAACAATATTTGAATAGACTGTGCAGTTTTGCGCCTTCATATAAGTGGCGATACAAAATAAAATCGTGAGTTAAATGATGTGATTTTGTCTATGAGTTTAGGTGAGGTGCAAAATAAAAGTAAAATGAAGTAAGCATTAAAAATGAAGCAAATTTTTTTGTAAAAAGGGTAAATTTATTAGTATACACGCGGACTGGATGTCGGAGGAGAAAGCAGGCAACAGACCTCTTACACTCATTGTCCATTTAAAGATTTTGTTGTTTGCAGCTAAGTAACTCTTTAGGTGTTGGCCACAATCATAATCCTCTTTGACGGAGACATTAATTAAAACGGTGTGTCTTTAGCCTCCTGTCCACTGCTAAAAGGGCGGATAAAAAGAGCAGTTCTGATGGCTGTGCCTTGTGATAAGTAATTTTCATCGCAGAATGAATTGGTGGGATGTTTGAGCGCTCCGGGAATTCCGCTGATAAAATAAGGTTGATCACTGAAACATGCCAGTTCTTGAACTCCAGTTGATTGAGTGATTTAGGGGAATCCGATGAAAAGTGCAGCGGCAGGAGAACAAAAGAAAGTGCGAACTTTTGGTAGAAGCGCTTCACTTGTGTCGAGCAATGCGAAGTCGTACTTCAGTAGGCTTAAAGGCTACGCGAGGGTGAGAAGTCAGAACTTTGATGCTCGTTGTGCTATCACGGCCCATGGGAAGTGGCGAACTCCGATTTGCCTCAGGACTGACGACATCCTGTATCAAAAAGAGATGATTTGCAATTGGTCGACAGCGCACTCGTGGACCGACTGTTGATCATTCCTTGTCACCACTTACTTTCCTTTCAATCGCTTTCCAAGGAGCAAATGCAGTTTGCTATTGCCACACTCCCGAGACTTTTGCAGGGTGCGTCTCCTTCATCTCCACCAGTTATGATTACCATGGGCATGAGTTTGGCGCAATTTTGTAAGAACCTGTCGTCATTTTGAGCATAAAAGTTAATTAAATTGAGTTCGTGATTGTCGTCACCTTGAAAATTCGTAGACTTCAGTTACTAAGTGACCGTCGTCAGCTTGGGCAGTAAAAAGTGCAACTGCTGAGGCATTATTGTTTCTAATAGGCTCGCAGAGCGAGTCGTCTTCTAATGAAGCGGCAAGGTGGGATTGACACCACCTCTTTTGTTTACAAGACAAATTAATGCATAGCACAGGATCTTTTGCAATGGAACCCTGCAATGCACTCGAAGATGTGAGGTAGTTGACCAAGACCTGGTCAAATTTGCCTCCTTTGGTGATAAAATTGACGTTTGAGGACAAGCAACAGGTGAAGGAGAAAGTGGGAGAAGAAACGCTGAGGGCTAAACATAGGTGTTTTGTTTCCACTGGCAAAGTACCTATAAGAAGCGAAGGTGACAGGAAGTTTTGTGTCTTCTGGTGACTTGCCAACCAAAAAGTCAAGAATGGGCAGTTATGACAACGGTAGACAACAAAATCACATACAAAGGTTAAAAAATGCAACAGCCATCCAAAAATAGGCGCACGAAAGAAGGAGCAGTGGAGAACATAAAGTTGCCTTAAAAGTACCGTTTAAGGCAATAATGAACATCTTCATAGAACGGAACAAGCAAATCGCATTCTCCTCCTTCTCCTTAACCATTTTTTGCAGTTTTTATCTTATCCCAAATTTCGAAATTAATTTGATGCAATCCCTCGAGAGAAATATCCTCTCTCGTTGGGAGGAAAATTGACGTTGCTCCTCCTTCCCTCCCATTGGTTGCTGGGGCGGCGAAGTATCTTCGAGGAGGTGGAGGAGGAGGAGGAGGATGATGATGAGGAGGAGGAGGAGGAAGGAGGGAGGAAGAGGATAACAAAAAGATGGCAAACTTTTGGGTTGATGCGGCAAAACTATTTCAGCCTTACCTAGTTTTAATAAATTTGCCCTTTATAAGAAGGTTAAACGATATTGTAGGTCAACGAAGGCTTGAAAAGTTCAAACGTTGATGACTGCCTAAAGGAGGTGCGTCCAGTCACGGTTTCTTACTT